TGTTGCTCCCGCCCCTCGCTCAGCCAGTGAGCGGGAACCGGTCTGTATGTGGGATCCGAACCCTCGGCGGGAGCGCCACCACACTTCCCAAGCGGTGCACTATAGCAGTGCGCCACCGGGCCGGCCCGCACCTGCTCTTGTTTTTGAGCTATTTAATAGCTCTGTAAATTACAGAAAACCGATAGTAAAGCACATGATTCCTGTTCATAGAGAAGCAAATGAATTTTGTCCAGTGGAAACATGATTGATGGAGTTTGACAAATTTTGTATCTATTAACAAATTACCAGTGTTCCTAATTGCCTTTGAACTGTTATTTTTTTTAACAGGTTACTGGCTCCTTTGTGATTCAACGAGTTAAATAAAATCTTTGACATGTTCGTTTTATATGTGTATGAGAATCATGATTTTATCTTTTTTCTTTAATTATCCTTTAATAGGACCCTGGTAGCAGAAATGGCTGCTGGGTCCTCCCTGTCATGGGGAGCTTCTCCCAGGCCCTGGGGCACCCTCTCTGCTTCTCCCAGCCCCAGAGCTGCCAAGCCCCCAGGGGTCCCCATACACCCACCCTCCTCTGTCCCCCAACTTCTTAGTGTAGGACTTAGGCTCGGGGATTGGGGATCAGGGGTCCAAGCCACTATGAATACTGAATCAGCTAAGCAGAGTTGTTGACCTGGGATTCATGCATAAACTCGCCTCTATGGGAAAATGCCATTTAAGGGTCCACAGGGCTCTGAGTTCCTTGCAAGAGGTTTCATCCTGTGAGCAGTGTTCCTGGAGGGCTGGGAAGATCCCCCCTGAATGCTCACCCACGGTGTCCGGCTTGGTGCACTGGATGTGCATGTAGCCGCTCTCCCTCATTAGGCTGTAGAAAATCTTCTCCTTGACGGGGTAGAGCAGCTCCATGTCTCTCTCGGTGTAGCCAAAAAGCCCCCCAAAACGCCGTCCCAGGAAAAGGGTCAGGGTGTGGAAATTTCTTATTACCAAAGCCATGTTCAAGTGCAGGCCTTTCACGTGGCTGAGGGCAGAGAGAGAGGCCCAAGTGAGAGGCCGGGCTGGTGTTAAGGGAGAGAGGAGAGAAGCGATGAAGGAGTAGAGGCTTTGGGGGGCCTGAGGGCAGCCGGGGGGCGGAGGGGCTTCATGTGGATGAAGTGGATGTCCAGCCTGGGGGACAGAGCACAGCGGAGGTGGGGGAGAGGGGACAGGGCCCCGCGGCTGGGGTGCACGGGCAGGCTCTGCACCCTCCAGAGCAGGGACAACGGCTGAGGGGCGTGGTTCCAGCCTCCTTGAGCACCTGCTCCTCTGAGGTGGCCACATGAATTGTAGGAGGGCAATTGGGGGGGAAATACAGTTTCTACAAAGTTCCGGTCAGGATTCTTGCAGAGCTTTTTCCATCAGAAAGGTCTAATCCCTGACCTTCACCTCCTCACTGCCTTCTCTGCCCGGGCACCTGACCCAGAGTCATCATCCTGTGTTAACACCAAAGAGAAGGACCTGAGGCAACGTGTCCCAGGAACAGCTGAACGGCTGGGGACCCTCCCTCCATCTCCCCTGGGTGGCCCATGGCAAAAAGGAGCCCTGAGGTTCAGACACTGCCCGGCCAGCTTGGCCTGACCATCCCTGCCTCCTGTATAGACGCCTGCCCGGCACAGAGGTCCACTTCTTGGAGACTGTACAGGCGCACACATACCTGAAAGTGACCTCACCTGGGCACCAGCTGGGCCATGTTGGTGCAGATCAGGGACCCCCAGTCCCCGCCTTGAATATAGAATTCCTGGAAGCCCAGACGCAGCATCAGCTTATAAAAGATCCTGGCGGTGGCCACCGAGTTGAAGCCTGGTTGCAAAGGGAAAGAAAACAGAGTCACAGGGAGGTCTCTCCTTGAGGTGAGAGCAGCTCGCAGGAGGTGAGAAGCAATCCTGGTGCCCAAAGGTAGGGGGATCCAGCCCCGGAAGGCAGGTGCCTGGTGCCCACCTTGGGGGGGCCATGAGTGGCCAGCCACTGCTCTGCCAGGCCACGAGGGCAGTGATGGCTCACGCAGCCCCTGTGAGATGTCTGCACACCCTCACTGCCCAGGGCTTGGTCGTTCTCTCTGTCCTGGAACAGTCCAGGGCCCTGATGTAGACCTGCTGGATCAGGGAGCTCTTGAGGACACGAGAGTCCAGACCTTGACCAGCACCACCAAACGGTGCTAACCACTGCTACACCCAGCCCTTTGCCCAACACTTTCTTGGACCCTAAGACATGCTGGCTCTTTAGCATCATAAAAACACCTCCTCAGCCACCTCCTGCCTCATTCTCCTGGAAGGAGAGCCTGGTGGGAGACCCCAGGCCACGCTAGGCAAGGATGGGACGGCCATGTGACCCCCAGCAGCCCCTTACCTTTCTTGGAGGATGCCTCTGAGAAGCCGTAGCCAGGAATGGAAGGACAGATGACTTCAAAAACATGCTCGTCGCTCAGGCCGTGGTTCTTGGGATCAGTCAGGAGGGGGATGATCTTATAAAACTCGTAGAAGGAGCCAGGCCAGCCGTGCACCATCATCAAGGGCTTTGGGGTACGGCCTGAGGGCGGCTGGGGGGGCTTTACGTGGATGAAGTGGATGTCCAGCCCTGGGGGACGGAACACAGGGTTAGGGGAGAGGGCCCTGAGGGTGTCCGGCCAGGTTCTGTACCCTCCAGAGCATGGATGGTAGGTGCTGCCACCCTTAGTGGCCCCCATTGCTGCTGCCCACCCTGGTATTTACCACAGTAGTAAAGCCCAACATGGGTCAAGTGCTCCAGCTACACGGATGTCCTCTCTGCAAAGGAGCAACCGTGTACCTCCCGGGCACATGAGAATGTGTGCTCCTGAGGGCAGGGCCAGCGTGTGTGTGTCACTGCTGGGTTCCCAGAGCCCAGAACAGGTCCTGGCTCACAGCGGGGCCCAAACAGCACTTGTTCAATAACGTGAAACCAATGGGTGTGGTGACAGCCGTGTATGTCCAGCAACAGAGGATTAATCAAATAGGTTACAGTTTAACAATGCACTGGAAATACAGTATAGTCATTTAAAATGACTGTGCAAGGGCCAGCCCGTGGCTCACTTGGGAGACTGTGGTGCTGATAACACCAAGGTCACGGGTTCAGATCCCTATATAGGGATGGCCGGTTCGCTTACTTGGGAGAGCGTGGTGCTGACAACACCAAGTCAAGGGTTAAGATCCCCTTACCGGTCATCTTTTAAAAAATAAAAATAAAAAAATGACAGTGCAGATGTGCATTTATTTAACATAGAAAACAGTTCAGTAGACACTGCTGGGTGGGAAAAGCAAGTTACCAAGTCATATCCACTGTATGATCTGAGTTTTGTAAACAGGCATACGTCTGCGTATACAGTTCTCCCTCGGTATCTGCAGGGAATTGGTTCCAGAATCCCTGAGGACACCAAAGTCCGCACATGCTCAAGTCTCTGATATAGGACGACACAGTATTTACATATAACCTATGCACATCCTCCTATATCCTTATTTATTTTTTATTTGATTTTGACTGCTGGCCGGTAAGGGGTCCCAACCCTTGATCTTGGTGTTATCAACGCCATTGTCTCACCAACTGAGCTAACTGGCCAGAGCCAGCGTCTCCTGTGTACTTTAAATCCTCTCCAGCTCTGGCTGGTTAGCTCAGCTGGTTAGTGTGGCACTGATAACACCAACCAAGGTCAAGGGTTAGGATCTCCTTACTGGCCAGCCCCCCCCCCCCAAAAAAAAAAATCATCCCTAGATTGCTTATAATACCTAACACAATGTAAAGGCTATGTAAATAGTTGTGTTGTAACACCAAGGTTAAGGGTTCGGATCCCCATATCAGCTAGATGCCCCCCAAAAACGTCTGGGAGAATAAACTCCAAAAATGTAAAAAGTCCTTCAACCTCAGTGGTAGAACTAAGTGCTTTTATTTTCTTCTTTGTGTTATTTGTACTTTCTAATTTTTCTACAATGAACATATATTAAATACATAATTTTTAATTATCTTTTTCCAAATATAAAACATAACTTTTTAGGCGTGGAATGTTTTTTTATTTTTTTAAGTCCAGTGCTGGGAACCTGGAACACCATCCAGCCCAGGGCAGGGTCTCCTCCAGAGTCTCTAGGAGCTTCTGCATCTCCAGAGACAGCAGCCCCTTCCCAGGCGACGGGCCCGATGGCGCCTGGGCGCTCACAGCACACAGCGAAGGCTGCTGCCACTCCTAGGACTCTCCACCACGAGGACTGCAGTGAGCACCGTGGTCTAGCAAATGTTCCAGTCTGTTGCTCATTCATTACACAAATAATACGTGTTTACTGTAGAAACTTAGAGAACAGATAATCCAAAGCAGGGAGATCACACGTAATCCCACTGTTTGGAGAGAACTCTGTGTGTCTGTCTGGACTTGTTTTTAATAAACCTTTTTATTTTGGAACACTTTTAGATTTAGTGAAAAACTACAAAGACAGTACAGAAATCTCCCCTGCCACATCCAGTTTCCTCTCTTATTAGCATCTGACATGCATATGGTATGTGCGTTACAATTAATGAACTGATGTTGATACATTATTAACTATAAAGTCCACATTTTAATTCAGATTTCCTTAGTTTTAACTTTTTTTTATTATGGTAACACTTAATATGAGATCCACTCTCTTAATGGATTTTTAAGTGGACAATACAGTATTGTTAACTCCAGGCCCAATGCTGTAGAGCAGATCTCTACAACTTACTCCCCTGGCATGACTGAAACTTTTTTTTTTTTAAAGATGACTGGTAAGGGGATCTTAACCCTTGACTTGGTGTTGTCAGCACCACGCTCAGCCAGTGAGCGAACCAGTCATCCCTATATGGGATCCGAACCCGTGGCCTTGGTGTTATCAGCACCGCACTCTCCCGAGTGAGCC